AGACAGATGTTTGGCCAGCTGTGTCTCGGTGGTCTCTGGGAGCTGATGGTACAAACTGCTCTGGATCTGCTGCTTCACATCTTCTTTATACTTCACCTGCAGGAGATCCACGTTATCTACTATTTCTAATTATTAATATATATAATGTTAGAAACAGAGAAGAGAGTCGTCTGAATACCTCACTCTGCAGGTTCGACGCCTCTTTAGCGTGTTGGGTGTCGATGGTCTCCGGCAGCAGAGAGTACAGGTTGATGCTCATCTCCTTCTTACCCTCCTCTTTATACTTCACCTGCAAACAAAACAAACTTCATGCTGCAGCCGTTTCCTTTATTAAAGCCGGAGTTGTGGAGCGTGAACGTCGTCCTGTTGTCACCTCGCTGAGGAGCTCAGAGACTTCCTTAGCGTGGGCCGTCTCTAAGGTCTCAGGCAGCCGCTGGAACAGAACCGGGGAACTACTTTTCTTCTTGTACTTCAGCTGAACACAAACAGGAGACAGTAGTGTAATGATTATCATATTATATGATCGATGCGCGTGTGTGGCTGCAGGTCTGTTACCTGACTCTGCAGCTCAGACGCCTCTTTGGCGTGAAGCGTCTCCAGAGTCTGAGGCAGAGTGGAGTACAGAGAGCTGGATGCGTCCTTCGTCCTCCGTTTGTACTTCATCTGAAACACGTCAACAACAACAACAGACACGTTCAGCTCAAAACGAAAAGAGAAACTTCAGACAAGTTATGATTTAAGTTCCTTTTAAACTGACGTTCCCATAAAACACAAACCTGTACTGTCAGTTACATTTAAAGGGAAACATATTTGTTTTGTGTTTTTCAGATGTAGAAATAACAATGTGCCGTATGAAAGTACGTCGATTCGTCACCTCGCTCTGAAGCTCTGAAACTGTTTTGGCGAACTGAGTGTCGGCGGTGTGTGGGAGCTGAGAGTAGACGCTCTGTGAGAGGCTCTTCATCCCGTCCGCTTTGTAGTTTGTCTGTAAACCAAAAGACAACATAAAGAGTTAAAGACGCTTCAATGTAATAACAGGAAGAACAACCTGCTGCTCAGACGAATCAAACAATATCAACAATCAACCTGTTTTATTCGTTTAAACATCGTCTCTTTATTCATTTCTCTTGGTTGTGTTTCATCGTGTGAGTATACTTCATGGTCTTTCTTTGGCCTCATTAGTGACGTCGTCGTTGAAATGCAAATGAAAAGCAGCAACACAGAAAAGCTCTTTGATGCTTTTCTAGTGATAATCCCGCCTGTGATGACTCATGATAGAAAACATGTGATGTGATGAAGCAGCTTCCTGCTCTGGACCTCTGAGCGTCTCTGAGTGTTTCAAACCGGATTTAGCTCCTGAAGTTCGTTTGGTTTCAGTCTCAGGCTTCATCCAAACGAATACGTTTAGGTTTAAAAGTATTATAGTGTCTTAATAATAAAAGGTCGTGCTTCATACTTAAGATCTTCCTCTATAATTGTCTTCTATAAACTCAAAAAGACACATTTACTTCCGGGTGACTTTGTGTCGCTGTCGTTGACGTTCTATTAAACCGTGGTGGATCAGAGGAGCGTACCTCGCTCTGCATGTCCGTCACTTCTCTGGCGAAACTGGTCTCTGAGGTACCGGGCAGCATGGAGTAGAGGGAGCTGGACCTCTGCTTCTTCCCGCTCTCCTTGTACTT